TGTGTGTGTGTGTGTGTGTGTGTGTGGGCACAGATAATAAAAGCAGCTTCTTCCTCTTCCACGAACACAAGCGAGAGACGAGTCTTGTTCTCCTGCCTCTGAACGCAGGAGCAGACGTGAAGTCCAACCAGAGACGAGTAGCGTGTTGAGTCGTTGATGTGTGTGTGTCTCTGTGTGTGTGTGTGCACGTTCCCCGCTCTGACCTCTGACCTCATGGTTGTCCTCTTCCCACGAGCCGCCCATATTGAGGTTGGTTATAGATTCAGGTTCAGTCAATAGATTATCTTTCTGTTGACATGCAGAAAGTCAGAAATCAGATTTCTTCATCACGGTGTAAAAACCTCAGAGCATTTCTTCAGTGTGTGCAAAGAGTAAACATCGCTTTTCTCCTGTTAACTTGATTTGAAAGAAATGGATTTACTGAAGTTAAGTACTCAAGTTACTTAGAGTCAACATACGCTCATAAAATTCATTTTCCTATAGTCCCACGTTCTCGGGAGCAAGAAGCCGATGCTGGAGCTGTCTTGTGTCTTTGTGTGTAATGTTATGAGGAAGGGTTAAATGTTTTTAATGTTTTAGTAATTGTCTTCGTGTTGAAGTAAAGTTTAGATCTGGATTATTTTGAATTCCGAGGATCGACCTGTGACCGTGTGTTTGATTCACACCTGTGTGTGTGTCCACGTTTGTCTTGTTGTGAATGAAAGAGTGATCGCCGCCTGTGTGAGGGTCGGCAGCTTTGTAAACATTACCTCATCACCGTCATGCTGCGGGGGCCCGCCCCCCCCCCCCCCCCCCCCCCCCCCCCCCCCCCCCCCCCCCCCCGCTGGCCCCCAGGTCTGTGGGAACTGAAGCCCGCTCTGCTGGCGTGAACAAAGGGCAGCCCTCCCCTGCCCCAGTCGCCGCTGCCCCCGGCCCACCTCGCAACAAAAGGGGCCACGGGGCCTTAATTCCCAGGCAACGATATAAATGGTGGCCCCCGACTCCAGAGGACGAGGCAGGAACGAATGGGCATGAAAACTGAACGGGGTGGGGGAGGGGGGGCGGCAAAGAAGTCATAAAAGAGGTGCCCCCCCCCCTCCTCATCGCAGAGGTCCTTTTGTGGGTGTGTGTGTGTGAGGGGACAGAGGGCGGGGGGGGGAGAGGGGACCAGGGTGACGGGGGACAAAGGACAGGTCGGAGAGAGAGGCAGGGGTCAGGACTGCCAGCCACCCCCTCCACACACACACACACACACACACACACACACAGCAGAAAGTTTCATTCGGGACTGAAGCTACAGGTTGTGTTGATTTAAATTTGTGTTAAAAAACGTATTTACGTGAGAGTGTTGCCGAGTTTAACACGTGTTTAACTTTAATGAAACCAGCAGACGTCAGGAGCGGCGTTCCTGTCAGCGACGCTCGGTCGTCCACGCTGAAGTGACAGTGGGGAGAGAG